AAGTCATCTCATGAGGTTCAACCAGGCCAGGTGCTGGTGCTGCACCTGTTGTTGGGGCACCCCCTGGTACCAGTCCAGGCTGGGGAGAAGGACTTGGAGGTGCTGATGGGTGAGAGGCTGGATATGTGCACTGGCAGCCCAGAAAACAGCTGGGTCCTGGGCTCATCTCCACAGTGTGGGCAGCAGGTGAGGGAAGGATTCTGCCCCACTCAGGTGAGACCCACCTGCAGTACTGCATGGCTTCAAACTCAGAGTAGGTTAACTCTTAGGGAAAAATTCCTCCTTGTGAGGGTGCTGAGGCACTGACACAGGTTGCCCAGAGAAGCTGTGGCTGCTCCATCCCTGGGAGTGTTCCAGGCCAGGCTGGACAGGGCTTGGAGCAACCTGGGCTAGTGGAAAATTGTCCCTGCCCATGGCAGGGGGTGGAATGAGATGAGCTTTAAAGTCTTTTCCAACCCAAACTATTCTGGATTTTTTTCTCTTTATTTCTACCCATGAGTGGGTTTAATGCAGCTCCCTCACCTCTCTGTGTTCATTTCACATCCCAGGGCTGCATACATATCCCTTTTTTTTTGGTGGATTCTTTGTGGATTTTGCTGTCTCTTGTGAAATAACTGGTTTTTAGTAGTCTGCCATCACCTGCTCTTGATGCTGCACAGGGACAGGAAAGATCAGCTGTCCTGACAGGTAGAGCACCCTGAGATGTGCATGGTCCCTTCACTCCTGTGGAGTGCTTCAGGAGGAACTGGAGTGCCTGCTCACACAGTGGCAGGATGCAGTGATCTTTACTCTAAAAAGAACAAGAAATTAGACATTCCTGAGCAGTTCTCGTGTGTGGGAAACTGTGGAAATCACTCTGCAAGTGATTTCCCTTGGGCCTTGCAGTCAGTGTGGAGTTTGCAGTTATCCTGGCAGAACCTTCTCTAAGTTTTTCAGTTGGAGGAAAGTATTGAATGACATGATATCTTTATTACTAGAGACTTTTAAGCGTGACTCAGAAGATTCAGTGTGAAGATCAGGAGCTTTATTATAAGATGTTTCAGTTCTTTGTGGCCTTTGCTACAGGGAAAAGGGAACATTTGAAATTCAGAGCAGATCTCTTATTTTTAAGAGCATCACATTTTACACACAAAGAGATTCTGACCTGATATCTGGGGGAAACTGAGCTCGTGAGAGACTGAGAAGGCCAGAAGGGCAGGTAGGGAAGATCTTGGGGAGAGTGTAAACGTTTTCCTGAGTCATGAGAGAGCTGGGTGAAGGGTAGGTGAGGAGTGGCTCATGCACAAGAGCTCATATGGCTCCTGTGCATCCCACTGCACTTGGAAAAGGGAGCTGGGCCAGACAGCAGGACTTGCTAGGGTCCTGCTTCTCCTAGGACAGTGCCAGCTGTGAATGACATTTAGTCTGGGCTGGGTTGGAAGGGTGAGCAGCCCCATGCTTTGTCAAAGTGTCACTGGTGTGTGTGGAGGTGGCAGGAGTGGACTGAGCCTGTGGGTACACGCTGACTTCAGTGTTACTGCTGACAGAACTGCACTGGCAACAGCTGCTCTGGGATGTTGTACCTGTGTGCACCTATTCCTGTTTTGGGGAAGTAATTTCATAGAATGTTAAGGGTTGGAATGGAGCTCAGACATCATTCAGCCCCAACCCCCTGCCCTGGGCAGGGACACCTCCCACCAGAGCAGGTTGCTCAAGGCTTTAGCCAACCTGGCTGTGAACACTGCCAGGGTTGGGGCAGCCACAGCCTCCCTGGGCAACCTCTGCCAGTGTCTCACCACCCTCACTGGGAAAACTTACTTCTTGAGATCTCATCTAAATTTCCTTCTTTCAATTTCTCCCCATTGCTCCTTGTCCTGCCCCTGCAGTTCCTAACCAAGAGTCCCTCTGCAGCTTCCCTGGAGCCCCTTCAGTACTCCGTACTCAAGTACTCAAATAACACTTTCCTTTTCCCTGCAGGATAATGAGGGAGCAGCCCAGTGTGGTTCTGGGGGTGGCCCACACTGTTGTGAAGAGGATGTCCCCGTTCGTTAGGCAAATTGACTTCGCCCTGGACTGGATGGAAGTTGAGGCAGGAAGAGCTGTTTACAGGTGACATGTGGGAGAAATTGTGTTGTTTGAAATTTTCCTGGTTAAGGATCTGTGTTCCCTTGGTGATATGTAGAATGAGAAACTCATTGGACTGCGTTTATCAACTATTCCATCAGGTTTATCTCTTTGGCTACTTTGAGGTCATTTTCTTTCTGCAGTACCTTCAACATTGCTTCAGACTTTTGTCTCCAGGTGTTACTAAAATTCTTTGATACTATTCCTCATCCTTTCTGTTGCCTCAGCAAGCTTTTAAAGTGCCAGAATTCATTGTGACACAGGCAGCTGGATGTTCTGGTGGTAGTTTCTGCATTGCTGAGGACATGAACCTCTACTGCTCAAAGAAGTTTTCAGCCTTTCTAAAATAAACAGAAAAGCTCAAAGTGAGGCTTATTCAGTAGTAAATTGAGAATAGGAACTTTCTCTTTAAGGGACAAAAGTTACCTTGGGAATACTCAGTTTTATGGATATGTCCTAGGATGCATTGAGCTATTATGTGGCTGGGAGAATAAAGGTCTCATTTAGTACATGATCTGTATGATTGTAATTTTTATAACTGTGCCTGCAGCACCAGTGCTGAGGGAAGTTTTGGATTGCTCTGTGCATCACAGCATTCGTAGCTGTGTATATCTTCTTAAAATCTTTGGGAATTCCTTGTGTTAGTTTCAACTCCAGCACCAGAAGTATGGCATTCCATCCCTGTGCTGGGTTATGCTGGAATTCTGCATATCCTAGTCATGCAAACTGGATATAGCAAAAACTCCCTGGTAGACTAAGGTGTGTGCACCAGAAGGAATCCACATCTGGAGCCACTTGGGCCTTTTTCTCTTTGACCTGCAGAATTTCCCAACAAATCCATACTGACCTTGGAATGGGGTGAGCCCCTCTATAACCACCAGTGAGCCACTTGTCTCCCCTGGAGCCCACTCCCATCCCAGTCATCTGCTTCCAGCCCTAATACGGAATCACAGAAGGGGGTGGGGTGGAAGGGAGCTGAGGGATCAGCCCGTCCCACGCTCTGCCATGGGCAGGGACACCTCCCACTATCCCAGGTTGCTCCAAGCCCTGTCCAACCTGGCCTGGAACACTTTCAAGGGTGGCCTGGGCCACCTGTGCCAGTGCCTTAACACCCTCACAGGGAGGAATTCCTTCGCAGCATCCAACCTAACCTACTCTGTTTGAGTTTAAAGCCATTCCCCCCTGCCCTGTCGCTCCATGCCTCAACCACTTGTGCACAACCTGTGCATTTAAACACTAAACATCTTTCCAGGTCACCTTTTCACTGGTGCCTGTTGCATTTCATGTTTGCTCGTAATGTTTAACCTCCAGTGAAAGCCTTTCCTATGTCCTCCAAGCCCCGTAGGGAAAACTAACTTATTCAAAGCCTCCAGCTGCCTTTGCTGAGCAGAGATGCCTCACTAATCCTGGCTCTTGATTCTGTGCAGGCAGGGAGACAAGTCTGACTGCACATACATCGTGCTGAACGGTCGCCTGCGCTCAGTCTTACGCATGGATGATGGGAAGAAACACCTGACCGGAGAGTACGGCCGAGGGGACCTCATTGGAGTGGTAAGAGGAGTCAGAGCTGAGCTGTTTGTGGGAGAAATTGCTATTGACTCCACTCTAAGCAAACATAATCTTGTTCTGCTCAGTTGTTCATCTTATGAAGGACTTTCACAAACAGAAAACATGGCAAGTCTCTTCTATGTGGAAACTTCAGGTAATAATACATGAAGGGCATTGTTAGGCTTGGTTGGAAAGGAAAGGTGAAACAAAAGTCACAACCAAACCAGCAGGCCCTGCCCAGTGCTCTGCTGTGCTCTGGGTTACTTGCTGTCCCAGTGAGAGGAGCACAGCCTGTTAGAGTAGGTCAGGAAGAAGTGCAGGAATGTGCACTGAAGGGCAATTTCAGTAAATACAGTGTCACAGGAAGATCCCTCTGGAAGTGTGTAGTCTGGTTAGACTCCTCAGAGTTAGCAGAGCTTCAAAGCTTCCTCAGGTTTTTCAGGAAGTATATACTTATACAGTTATTAAAGCAACTTTTGATTTCAAAATTGTAATATTTTTCCATGTTTAATTCCTCTCCTATGTTCATTCTTTGTTTCTCAGACCTAGTTAACGACAGAAATGGGAGTCTGACATCAGAAATATTTGTGGCTTGTTTGATATCTTTAAACTTTCTGAAGTTTAGCAGCTTTCTGAAGTCCTGAGATGATTGTACAGAGCCTTTTATGCTTTCTGAGATGAAAACTAAACACTGTGCGTCTGTTTATAACCAGAATTAGCATAGGTCTGAAGCAAGAAAAGAGGAGAGTTGGGATTAGTTCTATGGAAGAAACTGTTTTTGCAGAAATGAATGGGAAGGAGAAGTCCAAGACTGCTTCCCTTCAGAGAGGTGATCCAAGGTTGTGCTGATGGCAAAAGGAGATGGGTTTGATGGCGGCAGTGTCCAACAGTGGAGTGTTCCCAGCTGGTGTAAGAGGTTTTCTGCAGCATTGCCTCTAAAAAAAAACTGGCTGTGGATGGAGAACTCTCCCTGGGGCAGGAACACACCATCAGTGTGGGACACCTGCTTGTCTCTGGTGGCAGGTGGGCCCCAGACCAGTGTCTGTATCATAAAGTGTCTGTGACAGAGGTCAGGTGTGCTGAGGGACTGGAAACTGACCTAGCATGAGTTGTTTTTTACTGAGAGAAGTAAAAAGTTCTTTTGTGAGGAGGATGAAGTCTTTGTACCTGTTCAATGTGTGTTCACAGCTCATTTTCCCCTGTGTAGTGACTTCAGGGTGAAGTGTGTTTCATTGGGAAGTGACTGTGTAGAGGACATGAGGCAGATCTGGAGATGCTCCCAGTAGAAGGCAAAGGTGTGCTGGGCTGATAGTTTGCACCTTATTTCTTGAGTTGTGTGTGGAGAGTATTTAATGATCTCTTCCCACACTCAGTCCTGCTCTGGCTGAGGTGTTAGGTTGGCTTGGGACTGTGTTTGGAGCATCAGGTCCACTCTGGAGTGTGCTAGGCTTACCTAAAAGTTTGGTTTGTTTTTTCTTTTTTAGGGATACCTCATTAAAGGTAAAATGACATGGTTTGACAGGAATGAAAGCTGAGCTCTTTCGTGACTAATCATGCTGCTATGAGGCCTTTTAGTGTGTGAATCAGGGTTTGTCAGTTTTGACACATACAGGCATTTTCCTGCTCCTTTCCCTGCTTGCCTTTGCCTGTGGTGATCCACAGCTTCACTGTCAAGCTCCTGGAGTTCTGCAGAGCTCCAGGTTAAAAACAGAACTGTTCTACTTCTGAAAGTAGTTTTGAGTGGCAGTGGAGCATATGGTGCTCAGAGGGTGGTGAGACACTGGCAGAGGTTGCCCAGAGAAGCTGTGACTGCTCCGTCCCTGGGAGTGTTCCAGGCCAGGTTGGATGGGGCTTGGAGCAGCCTGGGCTGGTGGAAGGGGTCTATGCCCATGGCAGGGGGTGGAATGAGATGAGCTTTAAGGTCTCTTCCAATCCAAACCAGTTTAGGATTCTATCATACGGTCTAAACTTCACCTCTCTGTACAAGGCCTAGTGCTGGTTTGGGCATAACATTCCAACTGTTGATGTGCTGAGGAAAGAGGAGGTTGATTTAGTGGATGGACTGGGTTGTGTTTACTGTACCAGGGCCATGTTTGCTGGTGAGTCCCTAGGCATAGAGACAGAAAAAACCATATAGGATCATAGAATCATTAGGGTTGGAGGAGACCTCTAAGATCATCAAGTCCAACCCTTAACCTGTCACTGCTGTAACCCCTAAACCCTGAACCAGATCCTCCAGCGCCAGATCCAGACACCTCTTAACCACTTCCAGGACTGGTGTTTGTGTTTAAACCCTAAGTCACATTTTTGGATCCATGTTGTGACATGAATCATGAAAAGACTTCTGTGGATGTCATCTCCTTCCTGCCCACAGCTCCCAGCCCCACTGAATCATGCTGCTGTTTGTTGAACGTGGCTCCATGCTCTAGCTGCTTTCTCAAAACATGGGGGAGGATCAGTGAAGACTGCCAGGATGAATGCAGCCATCCTTTGCAGAGGGCATTAGTTAGATGATACTTTTCATTTAAAAAAACATTTGTTTATCCCCTTCTCAGAATCTGGTATAAACCTTTAAAGACCTGCCATAGGGGTTGGATTTTTTCCCCTGAAATGAACATTATTGGAGGGTTCTAGGTGCTTGCAGGGAATGAAATCAGCAGTTGGTGTTGGTATTTTGGTCAGCTGGTGGCTTGTTCTTCCTTGAAGCCCTCCAAGACTCTCCAAAGTCATTCTTGACTGTAGGCACTTACAAAGGCATGTCAGTGGGCTGAGACCAACTTGACAGGCTGGAGAAGTGGCTGATGCCAAGCTTATGAAGTTCAGTAAAGCCAAGTGCAAGGTCCTACTCCTGGCTCAGAGCAATTCCAGGCACACCTACAGGCTGGAGGAGAAGTCACTGAGAGCAGCCCTGGGAGAAGGACTTGGGGGTAATGGTGATGACAAACTCTTCATGAGCTGCAGTGTGAGCTCAGCCCAGAAAGCAATCAAGTCCTGGGCTGCAGCCAGAGGAGTGTGGCAGCAGGTGAGGGAGGGGATTCTCCCCCTCTGCTCTGCTGAGACCCACCTGGAGTGCTTAGAACAAGGAGGAATGGGGTTAAATTGAAAGAGGGAAATTTAGATGAGATCTCAGGCAGAAGTTTTTGCTGTGAGGGTGGTGAGACACTGTCCCAGGTTGCCCAGGGAGGCTGTGGCTGCCCCAACCCTGGCAGTGTTCACAGCCAGGTTGGCTAAAGCCTTGAGCAACCTGCTCTGGTGGGAGGTGTCCCTGCCCAGGGCAGGGGTTGGGGCTGGATCATCTCTAAGCTCCATTCCAATCCCTTAACAGTCTGTCAATCTATGAAAATACAGAAGTCTCGTAGTCAATGTAATTTTGTTTATTGCCTTTGTCAGAAGTTTTAAAATGTCACATGTCATTTGCATCAGAGTTGATGCTTTCAAAAGAGAAGCACTGCGAGATGAAAGGTTTCAGACAAGATGTTAATTTTCAAGCATGTGTGTACACTCCTAGGGCTCAAATGCCTGTTTTGTTCTTTGTACTGACTCAATGGCATCTGTTCCTGAGGTTGGTTGATTCAGGGGGAGAACAGCAGATTAGCAACTGAAGTTTGCCTTCCCCAGGTAGTTCCTTGAAGAGTTGTTGGTGACACTATATGAGGTGAAAAGGATCCTGACTCCCTGGGAGCAGTTTAGGAGGGACACTGGCTGTGCTGGCCCTATTGATGGGCAACTCCAGTCGCTTATCTAGTCAAATCAAGTAAAAATGGATTGAAAACCTTCCAGATAATTTTTGAAGGACAGTGGTCAAACTGTTCAATAATTCCCTTGCATTTGAAATGCAGTTGACCACTGGAAAGATAATTGACAGAAGGCAGCTAGTCTAGTTTTCTAGAGATTGTTATTTGATCCATTTTTGGGGGAGTATTTTATGTTGGTGGTGCTGTTGCTACGGATGCACCTGTAGAAAAATGTTGAAATGGGAATTTTATGAAACCATTCTGGGAGCTAAAGGATAACTCTTCTAGTGCCACTTCTGCCATGTCCAGGTGACCCCAGAGGAGATCAGAGACACACTGTGTTGGTAGAGTGAAAGGATTTCTATTCACTAAGTTATTTGTTTAAAATGCTGATCTTAGTCTCTCTGTTATTTCTTGATGTTGCTGCTTTAATTCTGTCCTTGGTTATGCACTGGAAATTGTAGTTTTTGCTCTTGTTTTGCTGACCTCATTGTCACTTTGTTGTCTGGGAAAATGGATTCCTTCTCATTCCTTTGATTTTTATGCCTGTTGATAGCAGGCAAAGTGGCCTAGGCTCTTAAATTCAGTGTTGTCGCTGGCACTGCTGATGAGACTGGGGCAATTACTCCATATTTCATTACAGTCTGCCAAGTAGGTTGTCCCAGATGGGTTCCAGGGTCACAACTCCAAGCATCAGGGTGAGTGTTCCTTGGCTTTTTGAGTTGTTGGAAGGACACTAGTGGCTGAGAAGGGAACAAACCCACCAGAGCAGTCTCAGAATAATCTCCTGCTGGATTCAGGTTAGTCGTACACTGCCTGTGCCCTTCAAACCTGCAGCTGATGGAACCTTCTCTGCAGTGAGCTTTTAATGCATGTCAACACTTTGTCTTAATTGTGTTCCTGAGGGATGGCTGTGGTGCTGGAGAGGTGACTGAGTGCCAGGCAGCTCTCAGGGGCCTCAGTGACAGCTCTTAGCTCACATTGTCTGCAAAGCTGGGCTCTTAGGTGGTGTAGGGCTGGATTTACTGGTAACACCTGCCCCAAACTCTGGTGTATGCAGTGTCTGACTAGTTGGCTGCCGAAAATACCTGCTGAGAGGGAAAGATGCCATGATGTGGTGAATTCAAGGTCCTTTCTGTTTCTTTTTAACAACCAGAATGTCCCTCTATAGGGCTACACGCAGTCACTTTTGGGTAGGGATATTGCAAAGCAAGTGCAGAAAGACGTTTGTGCACTGACACTGCTGTGGCACAGAGCAGCACAAGTGAT